ATTAAAACAATGTTAATGTACAATTAGTTTCAAATTAAATGTATTGTTCTGTAGTGGTTCAAAAGCATCTGCCAGGAATTTTTCTTACTATCATTTATTTTCAAGATTCTGTATTAGACCAACAGCCCCTTTTTTTCAGAAATGAGGATCCAAAATCTGGACATGAGTCTTTGCAAAAGTTGATTTTATGTTTTTGCTTGGAAGTTTTCTTCATTGAAAGACCATCTGTTCTAAATGTATGTGTTTATTTTCTTGAGAATTTTTTTTGTGGAAAAACGTTTACCTTTTCCCATGCAGATCTCATCATACTGTGCTGTGCCTAGAGTAAAATACACACATAAACACACACCTATGTATGTGTTTGTGTATGTGTGTGTTTGTATGTACATATAGTTATGTAGCATGTTTCGTATGGTTATCTTAACAGAATCATAAATATTGAAGTTGGCATAAGCAATCCTGAAATTATGGAAACGGTGAGGAAGATGTTTAAATGCCTTCCTGAACAGGTGATGTCCATCAGTACTGGAAACAGATGTTACTACCTCATTGGGAGCAGCAGGTAGGCACAGAAAGATGTGCAAATGCAAGATAACATTACAGTTAAGCTAATGTAACACTAAGTCACTGCCCCAAAGCAAGGTCCCACTCCTCCACAGCCACTCCCATCCCTTCCTGTGTCTCAGCTACTGATGGCACAGCTCCGGGATGAAACGATTCCATTGGTTGCTCCAATGGAAAACTGCTCTTTTCTATGTCAGTTTTTTGCCCCCATGGCCGGGTTAATCTTTGCTCATTCAGACAGGTGAGCTAACCTTCCCCGCAGCCACACTGCTACAACATCCAGTGTGTGAAAGTAGTGGGATCAGGTGGCTAGGAGCGAGGATGGCAGTGGCAGTACATCAGTGCAGTGGTGCCATGACAAACTATACTGGTTAAGGGTTAAGGAAGAGCAGAGAGCTTTGTTTTCTCACCCAGCAGCTTCTGGGAATTAGGAAAGCTTCTGCTCTTTATGGATTAACCACAGGAAATAATCTGGCCCTGGAAAGTAGGTTGTTAATCAAGATAAGCAGATTGAAGGGGAAAATTCCCCTGAGGGACAACAGATCCCAAAAGGAATGACTGGGGCCTTTGCTGCAGCAGGGTGGTGTGCTCCCTGCTCTCCCAGGCTGCAATCTGGTCCTCAGAAAGGGCAGAAACTGCTGTTGTGGAGGTGATCAGCCAAAGGTTGATTAGGTGAGGGAGGACATCTGGCACAGTGCTCCTCTGCTGCTGCTTCCCAGCTTCTCCTCTGCAGTTTCCCAGCACAAGCGTGTCAGGGATTTTTCTGCCTTTATGCAGAAGAGCAGCTGATGTGTGAAATGCTGATAAGCGCAGAAGAAAAACACATACCTGTGTGTTACTTGAGCGTGCCACCCCACGCCTTTCCCCAGGGCACTGCTCTCACAGCCCATGCTCAGTGGGAAACGTTCCAGAATTAATCCAACTAAATCCACCGCAAGGATGAAACAGGGCTTCAGGGGTCTTCTCATGGCATGTTTCTCGTCCTGTTCTCCCAAACACATTCCCTTGTTAGCTGTCTTTATGGCAGCACTCAGCAGAGCAGCATTACACACAGAAAATGAAGCAGAAAGCACTGTCCCAGCTCTCCATCTCTCTCTCCCTCTCCAAGTCTCTTGCACACACACACACCCACAGAGCCCCCCCACATACCTTTTCGCTCCCAGGCTGTACCTCTCCGAGGTCAAACTTCGCCATCTGGCTATGGCCACCTGCGCGCTCTCCCTTGAAAGGAAGGTGCAGACCTTCCCCGTTGATTTCAGGAAGCGTTAGTTTGGGCCCCATAGGAAGACGTGGGTAGGCAAATGGGTTTTCCTTGTGCTTTACCTGTGAGCAGGTTTTCATTTCTGTTGTTCTAACCTACAGGCAGGAAACAGAGGACTGGGTCACTGCAATATCTTCAGTCTGCAAGGAGGTCAAAAGAGGCGGATGCTGCCCTCAGGTGACATACCACTACACTTGATTTTAGAAAGAAAGAAGTTTGTAATTTCATTAGAAACCTGTGCAAAGGAATTTCCCTGATTTTGGCCTTGCAAGTTGACTCTTGCCTTGGTTAATCAGAAATCCATTTTCCATAAATCCTGTACCCTGGCTTTATGAATTAAGCAGGCATTGCACAGTCTGTCTGCGCTAGGATTGATTTTACGTTGAAGGAATCTCTTTGAAGAGTAAGCCACATGGAAATTAGGAGATGATTGACATTATGCTGCAATGAATTGCACCTTTGATGCATCAGAATGAAAATGTGTGTTATTGTTACCGTGTGCTTTTTGGTTATATTTACATGCTGTTTTACAAACTGATCCACATCTAGTCTGTCAGTGTAGGAGCAGCTGGAAGCTCTGTTGGTTCAAACGCTGGCCCAAGTTTCTGCACCTTCTCAGCCAGCCAGGCCTATTAGTTCAGACTCAGCACTAAGCTACTTACAGCTTAGCCTACAGCTACTACTACAGCCTCATCTCAGCTCAAAGTGCAAGCAGGGCGAATGTCTATCTGCCTGAAAAATGCCATCTAGACAACCTCTCTGAGCCATTAGAAGTAAAATTTGGACTAGTGGGATGTGTTGGTGCACTGTAGTCCATGTCCTTCAGGTGCTTGTTTTCTTACACTAATGTCGTCTTATTCCTAGAACCAAGATCTTCCAAATCCAGAAGTCAGAAGCCGGCCCTCCTCTTTGCCACTATTCTTGAATTCTGCAGATACAACCAGTTTCCTGGAAGGGCAAAGTTACCGGAAGGTAAACAGATTAGCCATCCTTAGTAACGAGTTTGCTCCTAGGAGTCACTGTGGAATTTCATTTGTATAGTTGCTTTTTTCCATCAAAAGTTCTTCAGAGCTTGTGCAATGGGTGCCCGGGTGGTCTGTCCTGCTCTCTGGTGGGGTTCCTGAGTTCTGGATAACATCAAGAGTCCTCAGAGGAAAGACTTTTGAGGAAAGTCCGCATGTAAGTAAAGGCAGGTGTTGATGGCAATGAGAAATTATATTCATTGGCTGTCTCAACAGACTGGCAAAGATTAGTGGGCATAAAACAAGCGCCTGTAGATTCACTTTGGCATTCCTTAGCAAAGCCATGTGATGATTGTTTTGACAGCTGCCTCCCACATTCCTCCTGTTTTGTGATTGTACTTCTCTTTGTCTCTTTCTTCAGGCTGTGAAGCCTAGAGGGGAGTTCAGGTGCAGTTACCTCTGTGCCTTCCAGATTTTCCCCCTCAATATTTAAGTAGAAATGAAGGAAAGCATTGCTGCTGTCCCAGAGCAATTGAAGTCCCCATCCTCTGGTGACAGGCTGAATATCAGCCAAGGGAATGTCGGTTTTCTCCAGTCACAAAGTTGCATGCAAATAGCCCAGCTGGAGGAAGCTGAATGCAGGTGAAGCACTTCTAGGAGGAGTCAACTCTTTTCTTTTGTGTACAGGAGAATGGTCCCTCGGAAGACAAGAACAGGCCTAATTCAGATCCTGGCCTTCATCAGGCTCGGTGTGACTCACCAAGAGGAGTTTTTGCAAGCCTGGTGAGCAGAACAAATCACACAGCTCTTGATTTGCTCAGTCAGAAGTGACTATTGGCTCTTATCTCGAGTATCTCTAACTATAGATTATTTGTCTACTTTTCCAGCACACTGAGTTGGTGTTTGAAAGTTTCCTAAATATAGCTAGTCTGTTGTCTTGTTTAGCACTGAAAATAACATTCTAAGAACTTGCTTGAAATATCCTTTGTTTACTTTGTTTCTTAGAGGCAGATCCTCAGAGCTTCTGTGCAGCAATTACAACTTGTGGCAGCTCTCACAAACTTGATCAAAAAGCTCTGAAATTGCACTACTTGAGGATCACATCACATTTCTCAGATGTGCCACAGTCTTCATAAATGGTTTATTTCTGCAGCTCTGCCAGTAGCAATTGAATCAATGTAATTGAACTACAGAACAAAGGCTTGTTAAATTGAGGCACACCTCAGGACTGACCTTCTGTAAGCATAAATACAACTTCAAGTAATTTAGCTTCCATATCTGGCACAAATGATTTAAAAAGAGACAATGATGAATGTTACCCTATATTATTGGCTAAGTCTTCTGACCTGTGTCCTGTAAACAAACACCTGCAGCAGTTTCAGATGGTTTGCACCCATCCTCTGCCCTGGATTACTGCCTTTGCAGCAGAGTCAACAGAACAGAAGGCACAACCAAGGCTCCACCACACCAGTATGCGGTTTGGCAGCTGAGTTTAAACCCACCTTTATTAACAGTTTATGCATTGGACTATGATCTAGAGTAGCCGAGATGCAGGGGAAAGATCTGTTCTGTTATCATAGCTAACAGGGTGGTAAATCATGTGCTGCAGTCACCATCCATGTGTACAGGCTGGCAGCAAGTATGAGATAGATAGTACAGCTAAATTTAGTGGAAAGTAGAGAAAATAGTTGAAACTACATTGCAATGCCATGGTGAGTTAGCACAGCTCAGCTGATGCACAGGACTTTATGAAGCTGCAATAACTCAATTGTGAGTCTGAGCTCCGAAATGCATTGAGTTAATCATTAGTCTGATTTAACCAGTGCTGCTCTGGATGCATACCAAGGGTCTTTCTGTCTCTTTCTTACACATGCCTTTTCTGTCTCAGTCATTAATTCCTTTCATACTTATGGTGCCTCAGAGAACATGTATTGTATGCAGCTGTTCGAACTAGGACAGACTGACCATGAGGCGTAAAAGATAAGGAATTTGGATTTTACCCTTTCAGCCTGAAGCCGGAAGCTCATATTTCTGTTTTAGCATGTGTGAAGATAAATAACCTTGCCATAGAGCTAACACGAAACAAAATTGTTTGTTCACTTGATAAAAATATTTCACTTGCCTCATAAGTTCAGCATCTACTGAGATCTCTGGATCTATTCTCTGCTCAGTGATGTCTAGACAGCTGACTTCCCGATTAATCCCTTGTATTTACATCCTATTAGAAGTATGACTCCACATTTCTAGTACCTGATTTGGTTTGCTTTTTATCAGTGGTTCCCTCATCCAGGCCCAGATCTTGAAAACTGTTCAGTAGCTATTACTCATGCAAACAGGGCTGTCAATGTCAGTTGAGTGGAGTCATGCAGGCAGGGACACAGCCACCAAGGAGAGGTCTGAGGACCTGGCTCCCTTTCAATCCACATTTTGGAGCTACCAAACCACATCTGACTCAGCGATTTAGCATCAGCCGTTTCGACACACAGCTTTCAATACCTGAAATGCACCAAAATAAGGAGGCCTGATGTGCGTGTTACTGTATTGCAGGCACCTAGGCACCTTTGTCAGGAGTCTGACTTCAATATCTGCTAGACACACCTGATTTTTTGAAAGAGAAGTTCCTCTGTCCAAGGACAAAACATAACTTTTGATCCTTTCCCTAAGAAGCCTAGAACTAACAATTTCTCAGTTGTTCTCCAGGTATCATTTCCATCTACAGCCAATTTTCTCCACCATCTCATTCTCTCTCATGTAAATCCACACTATGGTTCAACAGAGACTTATAGAACTTGCTTAGCTGTACGTCTGAGAATAATTGTACACTGAGGTTAACTGCACTGCTCTGGTTGTAAAGCATGTGGAGGAACTGAGATGTCACCAAACTGCTTTAGGGAAAGGCAGCGCTGCTGCAGCTTAACCCTCTCCTTCCCATTGTCCCAATAGTCTGCAATGGTGCCAAGGGGGAACGCTGCATTTGGCAAAAGGTAGCCACTGTCAGTGATCGGAGGCTCAGTTTGGGAAGCTGATGAGAGCTGTCTGCTCTCTGAAATTTCCTAGGAGCTGGAGGATCTCAAGACTTCATAAAATCACCTCCTCTTCCCCCTCTTCCCCAAGTGTTTACTTGTTTGATTCATCCAAAACCCCTGAAAAGTCACTAGGAAACTCATTCATAACTTTACATCATGACCACAGAGCCAGTCTTGTTCCTGCTGGGGATTTGTTATGCACTTCTTGAAGGACCATTTGTAGGTTTGTTCTGACTCCTACAACATGTTCTTTTTATGTCGTTTATACCAACAAGGAACAAAAATACATTCATCATCTTCATTTCTATTCAATGCCAGTTTCTTCTCTTTACATGTAAGAGAGTAATTAGTTTAATTTACTTTAACTTGAAAACAGTACTATATTCAGTGGCATATTTAGCAGTTATTGAAATGATCACCATGGAAACCAAGGATGTAAGTGGAGAGATAAAAAAAGGTTGCATCACAAACATGGCATGGGGAATTGTATTGAGAGGCAGCTAAATACTAATTATCATACTCTTCATTATAGTGAAGTCAACAAGGAGACATAAAAATAAATAATTTATCTTTGTGACTTAGAAAGATAAACTTGGTTGAGGGATTAATTTCTCCTTGGCTTACCGAATTGCTGCAAACTTAGTATTTCAGGTATTTATGAAGGCAGAGTATCACTCAGGACACAAAGGATTCCATGTCAGATCTCCAGCCCTCTGGGGTCTCTTCTAGTTCACAGAGAAATATGAGTTAATAGACTTCTCATTAGTCAGGGAAATCCCAAATTCATTCTTTACTTGATAGCAGTTAAAAGGTGTTTAAAAAAGACAAATATCTCCCACTCCACTTCTAGATTTCCTACAGATTTTTTTCCTAGTGTAAGGATTTTAGAACTGAATGCAAATAAAAAAATATTTTCCACACAAGTGATGCTAAATGCACGCAGATTCATACATGAAGAGTTTAACCCACTTGATTTTCAAACAAAATGACAGGTTGTGAACATACTGTCAATTGCAACTGCCCGGTTGCCACAATCCATCTATGAGAAGTACAAATATTAGTGGTGAGCTTTGTCCATGTGCAGTGGATCTCAAAAGTGTAAGTAGGGACACAACTACAGAAACCTTGCTCTTAAAACAGACTAGCTGTGAGCATATCTCTTTTAAAGGAGAAACATGTCTTCCCGTGTTTTCTGTGGGTATTTGCTGGCTCTATTACTTCTCCATGTAAACAGAAAAATAGATGTTAAGCAATCTGTATAACTGAACCTGATAAATACAAAACTATTCTTTTAACAGGAAAAAAATCTTGGAAAAAGTGACGAAAATCTGCTGTTGCCAGATACAGATGAAGACATCAAAAAGGACGAAGATGACTATTACCAAACTCCCAGCAGTATTTTAGCAAAGGTATTTTATCAGTTGTGAGTTCTGCTGGTTTGTTAATAGCTCCAAGGAGACAGGAGACATTTAATAAGCCAAAAAGAGGAATGGATATGAGGAATCATTAGCCCCTTGCAAAACAAATACATAGATAAAGCAGTAGGTAATAGAGCTTCCATTTATACAAGAAAAAGTACACTAGACTCGTTCAAAGGATCTTTCTGGTAGAAAGTGGCATTTTGACAAAAACATTGCTGATTTTGTTGAAATTCCCCAAATTGTTTGTTTCATTGTAAATGGCTTTTGCATATTGTGTCACGGGATTTTTTTTTTTCCAAAAGTGAAAACATCATATAGAAAATGTAGCTGTATATTATTTTTATATATTTCTAAATGTAATTCTATAGAAGCACCAGTAAGCTGCATAAAACAAAGTAGTACTTTAAAAACGCTGTGAAACCTTTTGGTATCTACATTTCACTGCAAAACAAGGGTGCAGGAGGAATCGTACTGGTAATTTTAAATGAATTTTGGCACCTAATTTGGGAGCTAATTTCTCTAGGCTTCCCATGTAGTTAGTGGTCAGGAGAAGCTATGTGGTCAGTCTTTTGCAGAAGTCACAGCCTCTTTCCAGAGACTGTACAGCTAACTGAAGGACATTAACAATATAATTTTGTCATATAACCTAAGTGCTTTAAGTTAAGCACATCCAAAGTACAAGACTTTTTTTCAACCTGCTTAAATTAAAACGTAACATCATTTTTGTGGTAGTACTTTAGAATGCAGCTGGTTATGTCCCAGCCTGAAAGGAAAGCAAATGGTAGTGTTAATAATACCAAATAACATTCACTTCTAAGTTTCAACTGCCTTTCTAGCTCATGGTTTCTGGGAAGTGACTTATTTGGGAAAAGCCAAGCTATATTAGCCAGTGTGTTTAAACAGCATGAGCACTAAACAAAATAATGAAATTAAGAAGATTTTTTTCTGCAGGCAGAGCAAGGATAGAATCATAGAATCACAGAATGGTTTGAGACTAGGTTGCCCAAAGCCCCAACCAACCTGACCTTGAACACTTCCAGGGATGGGGCATCCACAGCTTCTTTGGACAACCTGTTCCAGTGCCTCACCACCCTCACAGTAAAGAATTTCTTCCTAAGATATTTACATCTTCTGTTGTTATGTCTTTCCAACAGTGCACTACTGAAGTAGCAAAGCCTGACCCTACAGCTGAGTCTGATGTCGCTGTGCAAGAGAAGCCAGTGCAGAAGAACCCAGTAAAGGAGAACATTTATATGTCAATGAAATCACTGTAAGTAACAACTTCATTAAAGTTTTGCAAATTAAAAGTGACATAGTCATAAAGATAGAGCTGTCATTTATGGTATTTGCATAACAATATCTAGAGTCTGCATCTTGTTTGAATGAGTCTTTCTTTGGTCTTGGTTCAGAAAGTTCAGAACTTGTGGGAATACCAGAGTGAAATTCAAACTCATCAACATGAAATTTAAACTCACATTGCAAACTCATGCATTTAGACAGGCTCTGAGTACAGGATGCAGCACTTCTTGTTGACTCATACTTTTTCTAGATTTTTGTGACATAACTGCCCACCACTTTACTCAGATACCACAGCCAAGCTCCAGCAACCTTTCAGACAGGTACTCTCCAAAGCAGGAAGAATTATCTAGTGGTTAAAAGAGAAAGGTAGACATGGGGCATTAGGTCCCAGCTTTTCCAGTAAGAAGTTATATGATCCTGAGTAGGTCATCTCCTTCCTTCCATTTTCCCATCCAAAGAATGGGTCTGATACTATGTAATTTGCGGGTACAGTGTTTGGCATGTGGCAAAGAAAGACCTGAACTTTCTGTCACAGTTGTAGTGCCACAAGGAAACTTTACAATCTCCACAATATAGCACTGAAGAGAAGTGTGCCTACACAGTAAAACCAGAGGACTGGTCATTAGCTATGGCCTGCCATCTACAGACAGTCAACATAGTGAGAGGCAGTTGGAAATGCAGTCCCACGAACCAGTTTATTTCAACAGACTTATTCAGGCTCGTCTGTGTCTTTGAGAGCCCCTGGAAGGAATTACTATAGAAACCTCACAAGCCTATGCCATCTGAGTTAAAATATACCAAGAGCAGCTTTTGCTAGTAACCCGAGTCTTGTTTGGGGCATGGAGGGGAGCTGGCTCCAGGCATTATAAGGCGCATCAAATAAACCTAAGAAACATTCAAGCACGTCTGAGTTAAAGTATCTCCCAAGGGCCAGTATTACATCCCTGCAGAAGCCAGTACAGCCAAGGCCAACAATCTGTACTCAGTTTCTTTGTCAAGGCGTGTTGCTGGCTGGAATGTTTTCAGGCTTAAGAAATAGTCCTTAAATACTGAAAAGGTTTATTTTGGGATTTATGGTCTGTTTATAGAAGGAGTTTATTTTACTTAGTTGTACTTTTGTCCACTGGATATTCTACAAGAACTTGTTATTCTTTGCTTCACTGATGGCTATTTGATACAGCTTCAAACACAGGAAGAGTAGGTGGAATGGCCAAACCAGTTCATTTTTTTGTCACCGTTCCTCATCAGTAGGTTGCTGGATGACAGTTGCCAGCTCATGTGCAGATGTGATGGGTTCCTGTCTCTTCCCAAACTCCAAGACAACAGTGCACGTCCAAGAGACTTGGAAGCAAACACAGACCTACAACTCCCAGAAAGCAGCATCAGCCAGCAGCCAACCCTTCAGAGAAGGCAAAATTCATTACCACTTTCAGTGATTCAGTTGTCTATACTGCTCAGGTTAAGTGTATTCTCCATTTTTCATTGCAGAGAAGACAGATAGGTCTTCTCCATGGATTTCTGTTGAGGTACTGGTAGAGTGTGCCTGATCTCTGATGTTTTCTCTCACAGTCAAGTTACAGATAAGACCCAGCTGCAGAATTTGGATATTTTTGTCCCCCTGGCTGATATTAAGAATTACCTAAAACTTACCGAAGCAGCAGGACAAATATGGTAAGTTCTGGATGTCTTGTGACAGTGCCTGTCACATGTGAATGAGGCAATCAGTGTAGGTACAGAAGTGTGCAAACATACACGTCCATGTACAGTTTTGGCATTGCAGAACAGGGCAAGGTCAGTGTGTTCTTGTACTTCAGTGATTCCTTTCTGCTCTTTCTGCCTCTCCATGTACTTGAGTTTCTATTTGAACTGCTGTTGAAAAGGGCTATATAGAATCGAGATCCCTTAGCATGCTGTGTAATAATTAGTGATGAAGCCCCACCCCAAAAGCTAGTCTTCTAATGTTGGTGTGAAACCACCTAATCACTGCTAGTCAGTTTTATGTCTACTTTGGTGAACCACAATGATGGCATGTCTCAGAAATATAGTGAGGGGATATATCTTGTGATAGGGTAAATAGGGCCTTTCAACCAAAAATCTTGTGGGCTTTAGTATAGGTGGCTAATAAACCTTTGTTGTTGATGATAAAGGTAATATTAGGAAACACGTACAAGCGATAGACTTCAAGTCCCATTTATTTGACTTCTATACCCCCTTATGTACACTTACGTCTTTTGAAGAAAAGGGGGATTTGTGGAAAGAGGTGACAGTCCTTTAGAAAGCCATTAAAACCTGTCACTGAAAAGGGTGACAACATGGAACCTATGGGCAGAGAGGGAATCATTTCCAAACCTAGTAAATTCAGTGATTCGCTCTCATCAAATCCTTTCTTATCCTTTTTTCCCTTTAACCTATTACCCTGTGTCTCCCATATTATTGACCTACAGCACATCGTTTTGTAATTTAAGTAGTAGCACCTGCAAAGCTTTCTGAGTTACGTGTGAGCTATAAGTGAAAACTTAAATAATGTGACAGAAATCAAGATGACTTGAGTTGGATGCCAGCATAAAATTATCTCCGAATTAATCCCAGCACTGGTTCAGTGGTAGAAATGAGTGCAAGTCAGAGTTTTTCACAAGTAGGTGTTAAGGGCTAGGGAACACACGTCTTCTTAGATGGAAGTTAGTGCTCTCCCTAGACCTTCAATATCAATGACTAGGATAAAGAAGAGGGAGGAGAAAAAACATTCAGTATGTACTCCTGGGCAACCGGTTGATCTTTCACTGCCTTTTGCTGTTGCTCTCATGTTCACGCTGATCAGTAGCACTGTGTGCACAGCAGGTCACTTTGTTTCAGCCACTGTCAGCAAGAAGAAAAAATACCCTTGTAAAAGGGACTGGAAATGGGACCCCATCTCAATAATGTCTACATCTAAATTTACAGAGCTTTCTCAGTGGAAATTTGTATTGAAAGAATTCGGAACAGAGCACTAGGTCTGACTGTCAGGTCAACTAATTCTAAATAGCTCATCATCAGGGAGAGTCCATCAGAGACCAGCAGTTAAGAGATACTGGAATTTCCATAAGGACAGCAATGGATTTCTGATCCTCACGGTTACATCATAGATAAAACACATGATAATAAGTTTTAATTCCATTCTTTTGGGATGACTTTGGAAATCATCTCAGTCAAACATAGGGCTGAAACATGTGCAGCAGCGTACACGTACCTGCAGCGAGTTGGGCCGACTGTTTTTGAACTGGAATCCCCAACTCTCACTGGTGATCTTGTTAGCACCAGTCTTGCTTGTTAACATGCTGCAATGCCGGTGTCATGTGCGCTTTTAGGGGGACCTGATGGGATGGATGAAGCAGCTTCGTTTCAGCTATAACCAGATCAAAAATAACCTGTGTGTTATTTCCAGAGGGCAGTACCATAAATGCAATCCTGTTCAGCCATTGCCGTTCTGTTAGCAGTAGCTGGATATCCCGTATGTTTCCTTCATTGTCTGTCCTCCAAATACCCCAGTGTCTCACAGTGGACTGGTCCTTGCCGACTGGGATGTTTGTTTAATCACGGAGACCACATCGTGGCTGTGAATGATCTGCAACCCCAGGATGCGGAGGAGGCTTACTTCTTCATCAGCAGGTCCACAAGAAAAGAGGTAAGCCTGACTAATCTGAAGGTGATAGTCAAATGAATCAAGCCAAATGAGAAAGCAAGCTGCTTTTTGCAACTTTCAGGTGGCTTCATTCAAACTAGTTTACTCTGGTCTGCCTTTGGCATGAATAACTTCAGTGCCAAATAGCTCCTCAGCATCACTCTGATGTAGCATCTCTTATTCCTGGGCTATCTGGGGAATGCAAGGTCAGCACTGCTGTGTTTAAGTACTTGATTTCAAAGAGTCTGAGCAACCCCAAGAGATATTACCAGGCAACCATAAATTAGAGTTACTTGGTACTTTTTGGCTAAGGCCTGTGAATTGCAAACTTTGGGAAATAAACAATTGCCTCCAGAGAGAGTTAGAATCATAGAATATCCTGAGTTGGAAGGGACCCATAAGGATCATCGAGTCCAACTTCTAGTTGCTCATAGTTGTTTTGGGTATGGAGCTCTGGTCTCCTACTTCCTATTGGTTATCAAGCACTATGCATCTTCTTGTGTGATACAACCTTTTTTGAAAAATGTGGGAGATTTCTAAGTGGTGCCCTAACATCACTGTAATCTACTACATGTTGATACCTATGTTTCTCTCAGATGGAGTCATATTTCGGTATCCAGGTTCTCTGACCCATGCCAGAACACATACATATTTGAATTTTGCTGAGGAATTTGAGGTCATCAGATGCTGTTGCCATCTAAAGAAAAGCCAGCCAGTCTCAGCAAGGAAAAAATCCTCATCTCTCTTAACAGGAAATTTTTATTTAGCTAGTTAAAATACAAGTCAGAAAGCACAAATGTTGATCAGATATAACAAGCTATAAAAATTTCTCTCGTTTGGTTTTTGTTTTTTTTTTTTTTTTTCTCTTTTAAGGTGAAACTTACTGTACGTAGGATTCCACATTCGGATATCTTCCATGTTAAAGGTTGCTCATGTTCCTGAAAAAAAGACCTCAATGATTAAGTAAGTGTCAAAGTTAAAGGGAAAAGATCAGGGAGAGGAATGTGATATATAGTGTATGGAAGTGATCTTTATCCTCTAGAGCTGCCAGACATCTTTTGTTGCTGAAGTACAAAGAATAGAGAATGTGCATGTAATTTTCATTTTATGTCCTAATAACTTGTTTTGTTGACGTGGCTGGCATGTGTTTCGCTTGTATTTCATGTTGGCAAATATTTCCGTTACATGAAAAAACCTGAGGGTCAAATCATTTATGAAACCTTTGCGCTGTGCATACTTTGTACTTAAGTAGAAAGTACTGGTTCATGCCTGTACTCGCCTCTTTACGCTGAGTTACATTGATTTATACTGAACTCCTAATCAGTTAGGGGTATGGAAACAACCTACATTTGGAACAAAGCCACGTTTTCCCTCATTTCCCCTTAACTACAGAAAGGCAAAGGCAAGCTGAGAGCTGTAGTGTTGGAAGGAAGGCTGGTAAATAAAGTGTTGTGTAGTCATTCAGTGGGGCCTCCTCTGGTGCTTTGCCCCCCTTACATTAAGCCACAAAAATACATTCAAGGGATGACAGGAAAAAGAGCTAGTTGGAAAAAAGGAATGTGTCTGGAGCACCCTTGGGTTCACTGGCAGCTGAAACAAGCCCTAAGCAAAGGATGAATGAATGGATCTGGGAGAGAGGAGGGCTGGCCTGCTCTGTGAAAGTGTTATTGGTAAAGATAGCTGGGAAAGCCAGCGAGAGCAATGATGTATACAAAGGCATGTGTACTCAGCCCAATGCAAACAGAGTCCACTGAAAGAGTTTGGTGCTACCGAGTACTACCATAGGGATGTCACAGCTACCGCAGCGTTTCCAGAGCAAGTGCTCATTTGTTTCCCAACCAAGGACATTTCCTGTAAATATTTATTTGTGAATATGTCCTGCTTCCATTGGTGTCAGAAAACATGAGTGATTTTCAGCTAATATCACACCAGAAGACGTTGGTGCTTGATGTGGAACTGCCCACAGGGGTGCCTTTAGTGGGTGTGTGATGGGTTGACCCTGGCTGGGGGCCA